GTGCTTCTTGGGGTCAAAGCGTGAGGCATCCCCAGCTGCTCCGAGCACTTCATCACAGACCCGTGGAGAAGACATCCAGAGAAGACAGCCATTGCTCCTCCTTCCACATTCCACAAGGCAGTGGATCTTACTGTGGCCCCCTCCAGGTGAGTCTGAGGTGTTTGAGGTAAGGGGCTGGCCCTCAGACTTCCTGGGATGGTACTAGCATTGTGGCTGAACGTGTGGACGTTCCACAGACAGGCCTGCACCCCAGTTCTGGCTTTGGGGGGGTGGGACTAGGGTAGGGTCCTGGGGTGCCTCTGTAAGGCATAGATTGTAAGAAGGCCCTGGCTCTCTGGGCCTCGCATGCAGTTCAGCACCTGAGAAAGAGATGCACCCTGGCACCTTGATGGCCTCAGCCTAGTCCCAGTCCGGTATGTATGCAACCTACAGAACTGAGTTCTGGTTCTGTTGGTCTGAGGTGGAGCCTGGAAATATGCATTTGTGTCATCTTTGGAGTTGAGTCATAGTCTGATGGTCAGCTGTACTTGGAGATTACTGGCTTAACTTCTCTAAACGTCAGTTTTCTAGTCAAACAGGGTAAGAGTATCTTTCCCATGGGGTTGTTGTGAGGATTAAACAAGATAACACATGTAAAGCACTTAGCGTCCGCCTAATAAGCACCCAACAATGGTGGTGAAGGAGGAGTTCCTTGGGGTGCCGGTGGGAGGGTTCACCCCAGCAATTGTGTGCCCTGCCTCTCTCCTGACTGGAGTTCATCCCAAGGATGAGAGGTGCCTGTGTCAACCCCACCCTGGCCAGGGGTCTGGATTCAGACTCTGGTGATAGGATGCAGGTTGGTCTGGACACCCTCTGGAAGAGGGGCTTCGGGGTGTCCCACATGGTGACATTCTGCAGCTGCAGGCTCTCCCCTGAGCCCAGGGAGGAAAGGCAGTGTGGCTGTTTACTTGAAACAGGAGTCAAAATGAAAGGAGAAAGGGAACAGACAGTTGTGGAAGACCAACTACGCACAGCTGCGCTTGTAGTCTGTCTTAAGAAATTGTCCCAAGAACCGGTGAGGTAGGTAGTATTATCTTCCACATTTCACAGACAAAGAAACGGAGGTGTAGAGAAGTTCAAGCTGCTCCAGACCTCAAGCCTGTTGTCTTACGTGGTGGTGTTCAAAGGTGCTCTGTGGAGCCCAGGCCATTTATGTCACTTTGCGGGCCACTACAGGGGCAAGGAAAGGACCCGTCCCCAGCTTGGACCCCCACTTCCTCTTCAGCTGCCGCATAGCCTTTAACTGGTGTGGGCCCGCAAAGAAGATTCTTCCAGGATTTCCTAGCTGAGGAAAATGTTGAAAAGATCACCACCCTGGACCATCCATCATCTGCCTGCAGGCTCTCAGGTGTCAGTATATGCCCCAGGCAATCCCAGACTCGATGCCACCGGGTCTGCTTTGGGCCTCAGCTAAAACTGGGGGAATTAAGGGGCGCCTGGGTGGCTTAGTCGGTTAAGCGTCCGACTTTCGCTTAGGTCACGATCTCGCGGTTCGTGGGTTCGAGCCCCGCCTCGGGCTCTGTGCTGACTGCCAGCTCAGAGCCTGGAGCCTGTTTCAGTCTGTGACTCCCTCTCTCTCTGACCCTCCCCTGCTCGCGCTGTATCTCTCTCTCTCTCCTAGAAATAAATAAAACATTAAAAAAATTTTTTAAAAAACTGGGGGAATTAAGGTGAAAGATATTAGACATCTAAGTGAACGTGAGACACAATTCCCATGTGTCTTGAATTTACAAAGAACTTTGAAGAACTGGTTCTACTCCTCTTGGACTCCTCAGATGGATCAGGGATATGATCAGGGTTAGTGTGTGGGGAGAGAGGATGGTTTGTGAAGAGATTTCCTCAGAGAGCTCTGCTGACATGCTGAATCCCCCTGACCATGTGGGAAGGAAAGGGGTGCCATCTACTTCACCTCCAACCTGGTCGGAAAGGCTTCCATGGGGTTTACCGAGTGCTTCAGTTACCTATCGCTGTGAAAGAGACCACCACAAAAATCAGTGCCTTCAAACAACAATAATCATTGATTTGTTCATAATTGTAGAATGTGGGCCAGGCTCAGTGTAGACAGTTTGTCTGCTCTGCATGGTGTCAGCTCCAAAGTGACTCACTCATCTGGCTGGCAAGCTGGTACTGAGTGATGACTGGGAGGTCAACTGGCATTGTTGGCCAACGGTATGATTCTCTGTGTGGCTGCCTGGGCTTCCTCAGAGCATGGAGGCTGGGTGCCAACAGAGAGGAAGGGGAAGATGCCAGTCCTCTTAAAGGATCTTTCCCATGGGGGTCCAGGACCAGCAGAGTCCCTTCCAGCACATCCTGTTGGGTAAGTAGTCACAGGCTAGCTTAGATTCAAGGGGTAGAGTAATAGATTCCTCTTCTTGATAGCCGGCTGGGCATGCATCTAAAGGAAGGGCAAGAATGGACAGTGGCCATCTTTGGAGAGGATGACCTCTGGAGTTGAGCGGGGAGTGCGGAACCTGGCAGCTGATGCCCTTTTCTGGAGTAGGACAGGCAGCTGCACTGATTCAGGGTTTTGTGGGCAGAGCCAGGAGCTTGCTGGTGTCTTAGGATCCTTCTGGACTTTTGCTGGAAGCCAGGGAAGTGTGAGTGCCTCTCAAGGATCAGAAGTGGACTAAGCAGAGGAGTGAGGCCATGGGGCCCGAGCAAGAAGCTGGCCACCCAGAATCCAGATGCATCAAGGCGGCTGAAGGAACCGTGGGAAGATCGTCCCGAGGGTGGGAGTCTCAAGCAATCCACAAGAGCATCCATCACAGAAAGTCTGGTTTGCCCTGCCTGTCCTGAGAGTATGAAGCTGCCACGTAGCACGTGGCCAGTCCCCTTACTTCCGCTCCTGCCCTTTCCCTCATCTGGTGGTAATGGGAACAGCCACTGTGAGGTGCGGAGTGAGAGGAATGGGTTGGAGGAAGAAGCCTTTCCCAGAGGTGGCACCAGCTTCTGTGAGAGGGGAGAAGGCTCTGTTGTTATTGTTTTTTAATGTTTATTTATTTATTTTGAGAGAGAGACAGAGACAGCGAGTGCCAACGGAGGAGGGGCAGAGAGAGAGAGGGAGAGAATCCCAAGCAGGCTCTGTGCTGTCAGGGCAGCAGATCCCTACATGGGGCTCGATCCCAGGAAGCATGAGACCATGACCTGAGCCAAAATCCAGAGTCGGGTGCTTAACCGACTGAGCCACCCAGGCACCCCGAGAAGAGTCTATTTTAAATGAAGACTGAAGAGTGACTAATATATAACCACTGAAGGATGTTGCCTCTTACAGCTCAAGTAACTGGGCACACAAAGATCATGAGGCCTGTGAGTTTTCATCCCGTAGCAGAAGAAAAGCTTTCCTTCATTGAATAAAGTTTAAAGGGTAGTGGGAGATAAAAAAAAAAAAAAAAAAAAAAAAAAGTTTATTTAGTCAAGAACCACGCTTGTACACCATACAGGTGCAATCAGTGAGCAGTGCCCCAGCAAATCCCAGCCCCGGGTCTGCCGCTCCACAGCTGGAACGGGGCCATGGTCCCACAGTCCAAAGGCCACAGTGTGGAGCAGGCAGAGAGCTGAGTGTTGTGCAGGTTGTTTGTCTTATTGACTTGCTTTGCTTAGGGGGAGAGAGGCTCACTAGAAAGTTCACTCACATCCTGAGGAAGGCTTCCAAGGTGGAAAGGATTGCCATTTCTCTGCAAGGCCTCAGATCCAGCAGATAGAGAAACTATCCCCGCCCTGGGGACCTTTTCCCCTGTCCTGGAGGTGTCCTCTGTCTCTTTCTGCCTTGGGTTTTGGGTCTAGAAATCACTGCACTCATCTCTCACGGCTAGGTCCTTGGGTGTCTGCACCTAGAGATCTTAATAGTGCCTAGATGTCTGGGCTGCTCTGTGGGAGACTCTAGTTGTGGAGTCCAGCAGATGGGGAGTAGCTGGTGGTAAGGAAATGCCACGTACATTGGTAAGCTATGACTCTGAACTGCTTTGTCTAGTCGTGAGAACCGACTTTGTTGTTGGTGAGAGGGCAGCTTGGAGCTAGAGCCCAGCCTCTCCCTGATCCCTTCAGCTACCCCTGCCTCCCAGTCACTGCTCCCCCTTGATGCCCTGTCCCAAGTGTGGATACACCACCTTTCTCTCATGATCTGGACTGCTGGGACACGACTCACCCCCTTAAATAAGTTTTACCAAAAGCTTAGGGCTTACACATGAGAAATGAACACAAAGAGGAGTATGGCAGCAGCAATCTGCCTGGCAAGGTGGGCCTACTTTGTGACTCTCTCCAGAGGTTCCTCTCTGACCTTGAGACCTCCCAGCTCCATAGGGTGGATATCATCTTATGCACCGCTACCAGGGAAGTCCTAGGTCGGGACAATGAGGCTTGTGGGGGAAAAGTGGATTCCTCGCTCCTGCATGCCTAGGGCCTCATTTAATAATTCATTTTCTTGAGTGAAGAACCTTTTCATCACTTAAGAGGGGATGAGTCCTGGGAATGACCTCACTTCAAGGAAGTGTGGATGTTGCACTGCCCTTCTCCCACTCCAAGGATTTTCTGGGTTGGGTTCAAATTATATTTCAATACCATAACTCCAAGATTCATATAGTAGAGATTTGTATAAACACAAGAGTAAAGCTTGGATCTAGATTTTGTTTAACTCTTGAGTTGCCAATAAAATCTCCTAGGATGCTTCCAGTCGTTGGTACCATTCACCAAATGTTTGTACTTCATCTCCTGGCCACATTGTATGCTTTGAAGTTATGTGCAGGCTGTGTGTGATGGTTTAAAAATATCCATATGTTCTTTGATACTCTTCCCTTCAGGAGGTGGGGCTTAGGTTTGCCTATACGGTATGCGCTGGAGTTAATGACTCACTTAGAATAAATAGAATATTCTGGAAGTGATGTCATATGACTCCCGAGATGAGGTCATAAAAGGTTTTTGGGCTTCCTTTTTGGGTTCTGTCTTGACTTCCTCACTCCAGGGGAAGCCAGCTGCCATGTCATGAGAACACTCAAGCAGCACTTTAGAGAGGCCCATGTGGCAAGGGATGGTGGCCTGCTGCCAGCAACTAGTGCTAACTTGCCAGACATGTTAGTGAGTCACCTTAGGTCCCCCTCCTCTGTCAACACTCCAAACACCTGCAGACTTGGCATCGTGACTGCAGCCTCATGAGAGACCCTCGGCCAGAAACACCCAGCTAAGCTGCTCCCAGATTACTGAACCCTGAAACCATGTGAGATCATAAATATCTATTGTTTTCCATTAAGTTTCAGGGTTATCTGTTGTACGGCAACACATCACTAATACCTTATGACTTGCTTTGGCCTGTGCAGATGGACAGATGTGTTATTTCCAGGGAGAGGCCTTAAGGACAAGGTACATAATCCTCTGTGTTCTTCTGCTAGCCAGTTTCCAGCTGGTGTCTGTGTCATCAACCTGGCCCTGGAGTGAGGACTATGCCTGGGTCAGGGGCCCAGCAGGGGGAAGAAAGCATTGGCAGAAGAGGTGTTGAGGAGTGTTTAATGGCAGAACCATCCACAAGTCTGACATCCTGCTGATATTTAGCAGAAAGCAACAGGAGATGGTAAAAGGTCTCAGGCCAGTGTCAACACCCCCAGACCTGAAGTGACAGAATCGGATGAGTGGTGTAGCTGTAGGGGAGGGCTACGTAACAGGACTGTAAACCTCGGTAAAGAAATGCCGCCTCTGTCAATCAACAGCCCTGCAGGGAGGGCCCTGGAGGCAGACTGCACCCCATTACCTCCTGCTGTGTAGTCTCAGTGCCCAAACTGTGTAGTCTCAGGTCTTGGTGTTGCCACTATTTATATGACTTTTAAAAAATGGTACCAAACAACAGTTGAGTCTTTTAGCTTTTTAGGGATGCAATTTGTAGCTTACTCATTCTGATGGTGCATTGAAAGGAAATGTTTCTTAGAATAGCTGCACCACTGAGGCTATTCTGAAGTTCTTCCGTGGAAGTAGTGGACAGTATCTGCTTTAGATCCTTTTTCACAAGGAAGTATTTTCTTCCTTGTTATATGGAACTTCAAGATGCCTATTGGCCTCCTCATGGCGTGCACTCTAAAAGTCTTGCTCATGGAGATCGTGGCCTCCAATTTCAGAACAGTACATCTTTTCCCAAATGATCTTGGGCCTTTCATCCTTCCATAAATATATATGATGGCTTGGCCCAGTCCTAAATCCAGTTATAGGATTTGCACAGCAACCTCCCTCCCTCCAGAGCTGTGTTAACGAACTCTAGGCTTTGAAGACTCAGGAGTCCTTGCCAGAGAAAGGGCCAACTGAGTGGGATTGAGCTTATAGTGTAAATAAGTCAACTGCAAAGTCTTTGGGGTTTGCTTGCTCTCACAGAGAACCCATGCCAGGTGGGAACTCTCAAACCTCTCATAGAGCCTTGTTATTCTAGTGAGGTCAGCTCCACCAAGGGGCCACCACCTAGGCATCCTTTCCTTGGAACTTCAGGTAGGTCATGATCAATCATGAATTCTGAAGATTATTTATTTCCTGAGAAAGAAGTATTGGCTCCTGCCCAATGTGGTCATTCTTGACGTTTGTACCTATGTAGAGCAGTGGCTTTCTCTAATGGTTGTATAGAAGTCCAAGTCATAGCATTCACGAGGTAACGTCAACTCTCTTTGGGGAATTTTCAATGAAACTTTACTGACAATTTGAGGATAGTTGATGTATTCATTTCCTAGAGCTGCCGTAACAAAGTACTATAAACTAGATGGCTTAAAACAACAGAAATTTATTTTCTCACACTTCCGGTGGCTGGAAGTCCAAAATCAAAGGTCTTGGCAGGGCTGTGCTCCCTCTGAAGTCTCTGAGAGAGGATCCTTACTTGCCTCTTCTACCTTCTTGAAGCCCCAGGTGTTCCTTGGCTGGTAACAGCATCAATGCAATCTCTGCCTACATCTTCACATGGTTGTCTTCCATGTTTGTGTGTGTGTGTCTTCTTATGAGGACACCAGTCATACTGAATTAGAGCCCAGCCTACTCCAGTATGACCTCATCATAACTAATTACATCTGCAACAACCCTATTTCCAAATAAAATCACATTCTGAGAGGGTTGGGATTTCAACATACCTTTTTGTTAGACACATTCAACCCTTAAAAGTAAACAAAAGTTTACAACTACTGCATAGGCTTAGACCTGTCTTTTATTTATTTATTTTTTTAGAGGAGGAGGAGAAGGGGGAATTGCAACCAGGCTCCTTGCTCAGTGCAGAGCCTGATACAGGGCTCAGTCCCACAACCCTGGATCATGATCTGAGCCAAAATAAAGAGTCAGTTGCTCAAATGACTGAGCCACCCAGGCACCCTAGCTTAGACCTGCCTTTAGAGCTCCTTGTTTGTTTGTTTGTTTGTTTAATGTCAACTTAAAAAATACCTGTTGGGGTGCCTGGGTGGCTCAATTGGTCAAGTGTCTGACACTTGATCTTGGCTCAGATCATGATTTCACGGGTTCTTGAGGTCAAGCCCCATGTGAGCCTCAGGGCTGACAGCAGGGAGACTGCTTGGGATTCTCTCTCTCCCTGTCTCTCTGTACCACCTCCTCCCAAAATAAATAATAAACTTAAAAAAAAATACCTATCAAGCAAAACTTATGTAGACCTTCTTCTCTGTATGTTAGGAAAATAGGTGATACCCCGTTCTAAGACATCTAATATTGGAAAGAAGCAGTTTACTAATCTAGACTCTGGAGAACTGGCCCAACATCAAATTAAAATAATGGTGTGTCTGTGGGGGTGAGGAGCATGGTAAGGGATACTCATAATAGGATAAATATAGCCCATCTTCCTGAAGCACCAATTTGGTTAGAACTTTTAAGGGGGAAACACATTCTTATGTATAACACATTATGAAACAGACTGTAAAATTCACATGGATTTTAAATATAAATTGCAAATCTTCAAAGAAATTTTAGCTTACAGCTGGCCTTTTTGGGCTACAACCTCTTCTCACCCGCCCCCAGCTCGTATTCACGTGAGGGTGCTTTCATGGTAAAGCTGAAGAAACACGGGATCTGAAAGTGCCTTGCTGGGTGGTAGAACGCCACATTTGAGGGGAAGACAGAAATCTGACCAGAAGACAAAGCACCCGGACCCTGGCTTTCAGCTGTTTGCATAAATACCTTCCCTAAGTTAGTTAAAAGCTAACTCGCCCTGTGCTTTTGTGGCAGGTTCATAGAGAGTTGTTCAGGGGAATGAGCTTAAGAGGATTTCTTTATAAACTGTTTAGAGAAAATAAGGGATCTGAGCCTCCAGTTCCAATGGGTGGGGAGTAGAGGATATGTTTCCCATACCAGCCATTCTTCAACACCAGCTGAATGTGCTATGATTCAACTCAGTTTTGCCACTATCTACTCAGAGATAGTGTCATAGCCCCCCCTCCCCCCCAGGTTAAGGGCTCAGTCCCACAAGACTGCTCCTAATCCCACCACTTCAGATGCCAGTCACTAGCCCAGGTTAAGCCCAGGCTATCACCGGTGTTTCTGACTAACAAACTGTAAATTGGAGATTCCAACAACCCTTCCTTGTTTTCAATTAATTTGCTAGAATGTCCCACAGAACTCAGGGAAACCTTTTATTTGCTACATTACTGGTTTATGATGGATGCACAGGACAAGGTATGGGAAAGGGCAGGGAGCTTCCATGCTCTCTGGGTGCACCACTCTCCCCTCCTCTCCACGGGTTCACCAACCCAGAAGCTCTCTGAACCCTGTCATTTTGGGTGGCTTATGGAGACTTCATTACATAGGCATGGTGGTTTAAATCACTGCCCATTGGCAATTGATTCACCCTCCATCCCTTCTCCCCTCCTCCAGGTCAGGAGGTACTAAAAGCTCTAATCACATGGCTCCTTTGGTAACCAGCCCCCCATCTTTAGGTGCTTTCCAAAAGTCACTGCATTAACACAGAGTCGGTTGTGGTTGAAATGGATTTGTTACAAATAACAAGACACTCATTTCACTTCATGGCCCTGAGTAATTTCAGAAACTGAGGACAAGAGACCAAATATTACAACAAAAGATGCTCTTATTTCTATTATGGTTCAGGAAATTCTGAAGATTTGGACAGCTCTGTGCCAGAAATGGGGATGGAGACCAAACATATACTTCCTATTATGAATCACAATATCACAGATAGTCATCAGTGTTCTTTGTTGCCCTTTATATGAGGATTCACATAATCAATTCCTGCTTGATTTAAAATTTTTTTAATGCCTATTAATTTTTGAGAGAATGAGAGACAGTGTGTGTGTGTGAGCAGGGGAGGGACAGAGAGAGGAAGACACATAATCTGAAGCAGGCTCTGAGCTGTCAGCACAGAGCCCAGTGCAGGGCTCAAACTCACAAACTGTGAGATCATGACCTGAGCCGAAGTCAGACACTTGACCGACTGAGCCTCACAGGCACCCGTGTTCCTACTTGATTTTAGATCCCAGAAAAAGCTGCCTCCATAGAAGAATTAGTTAGAATTCTTTGTCTTATTGGACAATGAAAATTATGTAGCTGATTGTGTTTCTTTCTGCTCCATTGCCAGGTATCTTAAAACCAAATTTCTTACATCTTATAACCTGTTCAACTCCAATGCCAGAAAGTGCCTGCACCTTCTCCCACCTTCGAATGGACTCTGAGCTGTTTCTTTCCTATACGTTTAGTCCTGTTTGCTGTGGTAAACACCCACTCAGGAAGAGGGCAGGGCACAAATTATACCGAAAACATTTTTTTTCCAGTCAGCTATTAAAGGATGTGACCAATTTACAACTAAAATTCAGATATAAGACCAAAAAACTATTAATACGGACTAAAAGACAAGTCAAGCACTAGAGAGGAACAGCTGCTGGGTATTATTTTTTTTAAAAGGAAAATCTATGTACATTCACATTGTTTTGCTATTATAAGCAATGCTGCGATGAATACCTATGTGCATAGTTCTCCAATTGGTTCTTTAAGGTATCTTTCTAGAAGTGAAATTATTGTCCTTATAGTGTCATGATTTTCAAGGGCAAATCAATTTGCTGTGTGTATTAGGAGGTTTTGGGTCACACGAGAGGCAGTATAACACAATGGCTGAGACTGGACTCCAGAGTTTAAATTCTGGTTCCACTGTCTCTGTTCTTGTCATGAAATGTAGGTGGTCACTCAATCAGTGGAGTCTCTTTAGACCTTTCTTTCTTAACTCTTGGAAATATTTGATGCTATTAGCCATACCCTTACTCATAGGCTTCTACAAAGCTGCATTTTTCCTGTCTCTTTATCACTTCTAAGTGTCTTTTTCCTTTGCCCATCCCTTAAATGTTGGTACTGTTCCTCAGGGGGCTGCCCTAGGTGCTTTTTTTCTCCCTCTTTCTGTAAGCATTCCCAAAGTTTGGTTACACCTTACATGCTGTTGGATCCCAAGTCTAGAATTCCAGTCCAGGTCTCAGGAGAGATCCTGAACTCCATATCTGTATATCCAATTGCATTATTGGACATTTCTATTTAGGAATTTTGTAGGAACATCCGATTCCACATTGCCCAACTGAACTTGTCATTTTCCCCCATCTCTTTCCCTGTTACTAGGAAATAGTTGCTAAAGTCAGAAACCTGGGGTCCAGCTTTGAATCCCTCTTCCTTAACTGCCCACCTCAAATGGACCGGCCTCTCCTAAAATATTTTCCAAAGTCCACTTGCTTCTTTGCAAACTCACTACCAACACCGTCTTGTGACCCACCATGCTTTCTTGCCTGGTCGACTGAACAGCTCCCCAAATGGCCTCCTTACCTTTAGCTGTGCTAACTACACTAATTTCCACTCTGCTCCAGAATGCTGCTGCCATCACTAAAACATTGACCATGACCCTCGCATGCTTATCCTTCAGAGACAAGTCCCTTTGTGACTGGCCACTGAATTTCTTTTGTCTTGAGTGGGCCTTGCTCTTCTCACACTCAGGCCTTTGCACAGATGTTTTCTTTCTCTAAAACTTTACTTGCAATTCTCTTCTTAGCTTACCTCCTCTTATTCTTTGGGTCTCAGACTCAATGTCACTTTCTCTGGAAAATATAAAGTAGTTCAGGCTTCCTGGCCATGTGCTTCGTTATATCACCATACAATTTCTTTACCATTTATTGCAAAAGTGTTGAAATTTCTTAATTGTTCTGTTTCCCTGAAGAACTGCAAGGTCCGTAAAGACAAAAACTATGTCTGAGTGTTTCACCACCAAGCATCCTAGCATTTACTGCTGTGCTCAGTAATCATTAGATGCTCAGTAAATAGTTATTGAATGCATGGGAAGACACACAGGATGTGTCCTCTCCACATTACTCAAAATGGCAAAAAAAAAAAAAAAAAAAACCCTAGGAAAATACAGAATTTTCTTCTTTTTTGAAAATAGAGAATTTTATAATATGAGGGTTATGATAAGTTCAATGAATTTCCCATGCAGTGCAGTCATTAGGACTGTCGTGGTAAAAAAATATCCAGTGACATATGGAAAGATGTTTCTCATACATTGTTTGTTAGGCGAAAATGACAGTATGACATATGTATAGCCTGATCATGTTTTTGCTCTTGTGTTTTTCATTTTCCCTTAGAATTCTTTATCACATGCACTTACCTTTCTATTTATTTTGTTATTTTTCTTCTCAGCTTGTTTTCTTCCTGTGACTGTCTGCTCGTGTTTTATGAAAGACATCTTTTCTTCCATTCTATCAAGGACACTAAACAATTTCCCGGTATTTTCTTCCTGTAGCCTGCATTTTCAGGGATTTTTCCCTTCCTCTTGTTATCTGGGGAGGAAGGGATTTGTCCTTCCTCTTATTCAGTAGCATTTTTTCATGGGCTCCATTTTTTTCTCTTTTTACTTACTTGGATTGAATGAAACAATTATCTCCTGCTTGGGAGATAATAGCATCCTTTTCTTAGATCAACAGCTTGAGAGGAGGTTGGTGTGAATGGTTCCCAGTGAAATTCTGAGTTCTAGAGGACTCTAGTACAGCTTTGCTCACTGAGGTGACATCTTCTTCAACACCTACTGCCTGGCTCTTTGATTCTGTGACCCCATATGGTACATAACAACTTCAATTCCTTTTCCATTAAAAGGAATCCAGGCTTCTAGGGGGGAAATGTGGATTCCAGGTTTGAGTTGGAAACATACAAAATAAACTCGAACATCTCATCATACCAGATAGTGAAGATTATGTATCAAAAGGATTCAGAGACCAATCTGAAAGGCCTTTCAATGCCAACAATGGATCATTTGAGTATCAGTGAGGATAACTGCAATGGATTGAAACACATCACATAATTAAATCTGTGCATTCACAATACTGCCACCCTTCCAAGCCCTGATTGGTCTCTGTGGGAGGGTGCTAGAGACCAACCCATTATTTTAAATAAAGGTAGGAAATCAAGCATTGATGTAGCCTTTCTTGTATGAACTGTATCACTGAGAAACCAAATACAGATTGTAGGGAAGTTACTTTTTATAGAAGTGTTACAGTTGATAAATGAAGAAGGAAAGATAGAATTACAACCGTTTGCCACGTGTAAGGTAATAATGGATCTAGGCTTTAATCATCAATAGCTACTAACATCACAAAGAAAGAGATGCAACCAGACATGAAGAGACTCCTGGTGGAAGAAAACAGCAACACCTATAAAGTAGTCTTACCAAAAATATCTAACAAACCTGACCAAGCCTCTAGATTCAATTCCCTTTTACAGGAAATTCAAAGGATAGAGGAACATATGAAACATTTTGCCACCAACAATAGGAGGATGCAATCATCAAAGGCTAGACTGCAGGAAACCCTACCTGGTTCCCTCAACAAATACTTTCCTAGGGGATTTATAATGATAAAGGGAGAACTGTATAGAATCTAGAAAGATATATCCCCAATGTGTGGACCTTATTTGGATCCTGAGTCAAACAAACTATTTTAAAAAGACATGATATTTATCAAACAATTGGAAACTTGAGCAGTGACTGGATTTCTTATAATATCAAGAAATATTATATGAACTGCTGGGGTGGTAATGATACTGTATTAATGTGAAAAAGTCTTTATTTTTGAAGATACATGCTAAAATATTTATGGATGAAATGATATGATATTAAGAGTCTGTTTCAAGTGGGGAGCGAATGGAATATAAAAGAACAAGATTGGCCGTGAGTTGATAATTATTGAACTGTGTGCTAGGAACACCTTAGAGGCTATTACTCATTGTACTGATTTTCCACGTCTGATATTCTCTATAATAAAAAGTTTTAAAAATTGCAATAATCTCAAAATGTTCAGTGTAATAGCCTCTTAACACTTGACTCCCCAGTAAACAGTGCCTCTGTCCTTCTGGCACTTTGGAATCCTCCCAGTACCAAAGTGCTTGCGGGGGATCACACTCTTCCAGTTACATTCTTCACTCAGCATCTACCACTAAAATCAAGACAAGTCCAAAGTCCTTTACATTTCCCATGAAATAAGTAAATAATAAGGGATTGCTCATAAGCCTTGTAGAGTGATTCTTATATACATCAGCATTTGAAAAACAGATAAACAGGGGCTCCTGGGTGGCTCAGTCAGTTAAGGATTTGACTTTGTCTCATGTCATGATCTCACAGCTAGTGAGAGAAGCCCTGCTTCGGGCTCTGTGCTGGCAGCTCAGAGCCTGGAGACTGCTTCGGATTCTCTCTCTCTCTCTCTCTCTCTCTCAAAAATAAATAATAAGCATTAAAAAATTTTTGAATAAAAAAGGAAGAAAAACAGATGGACAAAAGGAAGATCCAAAAACTTAGCATACTTCACTTGTTTTCCGGGACACCACTATTTCATGCTTCACCTCCTACCTAGCTATTTCTTTGCAGCTTCCCTGTCACCCCTCTCTAAATGTTGGAGTGCCCTAGGGACTAGGTTTTGGATCTCTTTTCTATCTACTCGAACTTCCTAGTGAATTCATCAAGTCTTATTGCTTTAAATAATGTCTACAAACTGATGACTCCCATATTTCTATCTCTAGCCCAGAATCATTCCCCTGAATGCCAGATTAATTTATCCAATTGCCTGCTTGACATGTCCATCTGGATGTCTAGTAAGCATCTCAAATTAACGTATTTGAAATAGAATTCTTGATTTCTAAATGCTTCCCATCTTGCTCCCTCTCCAGTGCTCCTCTTCCCTATAAATGGCACCAGTTGCTCAGGCCCAAAGATAGAGTTGTCCTTAATGCCCTCTTTTCTCTCAATTCCCATATTCAATCTTTCATTAAATCCTATTTGTTCTTCTTTAAAATATATCCAGAATCTAATCACTCCTCACCACTCTTGCCTGGTTTATTCCCATAGTTTTGCAACTGGTCTCCTGGCTTCCACTCTTGCCCCGCTGACTGTTTCTTCTCAAAACTAGCAACCAAATGGTCTTACACAGATCATGTTACTACCCTTCTCCATATCTGCCCCTTGTGTCCCATGTCAGAGGAAACTCCGAAGACTTGAAGTGGGTTACAAAGCCTTTCAAAGTATTGTGCAGTGAGCTCCACCACTTTCCTCTACCCAGCCACTCCTCTGACATTGTGTCTGTTATCCATTTCATTGACTTTGCCCCAGCTCTGCTGACTTCACTGCTGTTCCTTGAACACACCAAGTGCTCTGTCA